GAGAAATTCAGCACACTTCGCGTAGGATTGTCCAAAGTGTGTCTCATGGCAACACATTATTCCTGAGTGTGTCCGTTCCAGGTTTAGCCGTCTTATTTTAACCCGCTGCATCGAGAGATCGGGAATACACACCCGAATACAGCGCGCTCTCGTTTGACGGAATCTGAATCTGATTGTGGAGCATTTCGCGCGATCGCGCAAGATCCCGAAAAATAGTCCGACTGAATAATGACGAACGACAACACCGTTGAATTACTTATCTCTTTCATTTTCAATCCCAAATTACGGCGCTCGCCTAATTGGACTTTTATCACTTGACTAAGCCGTTTTCTTTTCTTGAGTCATCACAATGATATGCTAATAACAGTCGATGTCACCGATATTAATAACTCGTTGCTGTATTACGGCGTTTTCTATGCCGATCGTGTCTTTTCTCTAATTCATTAATGCGGCGAAGGATCACGACGAAGAGACGCGACTTCTCGTAAGATTATCGGTATTCTCGACGATTCGTAAAATAATGTAAATTCCTGCAACGTTCAGTGTGTATTCGCATCAAAAATTCTACCCGACTACGGAGTGATCCTGAAATTGATCTGAAATTGACTCCGAAGAGAGCTCGCGTCGCGTCAATCTTGTGATTCTTCTTTCCTTTGTACTCTTTAGCGCTTTTCTTCTCTTGCACGCCGAGAATATTGTAGTGAAAATTACGTTAAAATTATATTTAGTGAATTTGATGATCTACCAAATATACACGATAAAAAATTCAAATAATTACAGTAATTTTGTAGTAAAAAGTCAAACATGTGTAATATTTTAAAACAAATATATGGTAATTTTGGTCATCATTTCTATACGGTCTAAGATTACAAAATTTTGTTGTAATTTTTATCATAATATTTCCTCTGTGTATTCTTCCCTTTACTTTTTTTTGAACGTTGTGCCTGATTCTCTAGTCTTGCTGAGTTCACATATTATGTATCGCACAGCACGTGTAAAACTCGTTCTTCCGCGTGAATACTCGAGAACTAACATCGATTACCGGCGCTCCGAGTTGATGATAACGCGTTGTTGACATCGGCGCACCATTTCGCAATTATGTAATTGCGAGGCGTTTTCGAGGACGCAGCAATTCACCGCGGACTCGCTGCGAGAGCGTGCGTTCGCTGAAATCGCGCGTCGATCGTGCGTGTATCGCTCGACTCCGGATAAAGAATCGAGCATAACCGGTCGGTCGTCGAACTTGACGCCCGTGACTCATCTGTCTGGTCGATTCGCGAAGAAACGCGATTCCATGTCCACGAAGAGACCGGCGCGGCGCGATTGCGAAGCGCGTAATTTCGCGCGCGGTCGTGCATCAATGCCGATGATAACCGAGCCGCTGACACCCGATAAGAATCTGAAATATATCATTTCGCGAGCGCCCAGAGCTGTCTGACGTCTGAAAGCGCGTTACCTCACCTTGCCGATTAATCAACCCTTGCACGAGCTATTATTTACGGACTACTATAACGGCGACTTCTCCGTAGCTTGCGAGCTTTAAACTCGCGTTCTCGTGCTCAGAGCCGCATGACACGCTAATTTTCCTGCCGACTTTCGGCGCGACTCGTAACGACGCGCTCACTGCAACAGGCGTGTTGCAACTGCAGGCGTAGCAATTGCTTGCGAAGCGCTGTAATACGCGCTGCGCAATTTTCTTGATGAAAACGCAATAATCTTCCACCGTTCTCTCTCTCTTTCTCTCTGTTATTTATGCGTGCTTCGAAATTTCTCTATCGCGAGACGACCAATCTAACGGGACGACGTTCCCGAGTCGTTTTCCCTAAAGTGCCCGTCGAAATTAAAAGAGATTGATTGCGCTGTATTTCAATCTGTACGAGGAGAGGAGGCCGCGCGGCGGCAACTGTTATTCGGCAAACATCTTGCGTAAATGTCGAACGGTCGTTTGCGACGCAATGAATTATCCTGCTGACAGAGATCGCAAAACGACGATAGATAATGGCTCGTAAATACATGAATACGTTAAAGTCTTCCGTCGCTTCTGCGCGTCTGGCGCATCTTTCGTATACCTTTTATTATTACTCGCGGGAATGTCCTACTCGATGCAAACACCGGCGTCCTCATTTTCAAGTTTCCGCGTCGAAGCATTTTACAAGTAGCCGGTATCTCGGAGCGCGAGAGTTCCTTCGACGTGAAAATGATTATTCTTCGGCGAGCGAAAAATGTCCCAGGACGTCCTGCAGAAGTCGCGTTCCCGAAATGCCGAAACTTTCTCGTCTCCGACGATTCAGGGACTTTTACGACGTCCCGACGTCTGCGCGACGTAATCACCGTAATTACTGTTATCCTCGATTTAATTCCCCGTCGGGAATGAGAGGGGCGCGAAAAGGCGATTCTCTCACGATCGCGCGCGCAGTAGAAGCGCTCGATGCATTTACGTAATACAAAATTGTTTGCGATAAAATAGTCGAGAGGGATAAGATCACGGCTAATGGCGAGGATCGCGCGTATAATGTTATCACGTGCATCATTGTGTAATGTAAATACGCGACAGCGCCGTCCCGTTATGGCTCGTAGTATCAGCATAGTATCGTCTCGCGCTCGTGTCGATTCATTATAGCGCAAGCGCCTTCGCGAAAAGCCACTCTTTTTGTACAGCATATTATTATTCTCCAACCACCGCCGTCGTCGCGTCCTCTCCGTTGGCGTTCGCGGCGTTGCCGCAAAATCATCGCTGTGTTCGCAAAAGACGACGCATGTGCACGTTATATTAAAGCGCAGATATGCCGCACACATCCTCATCCCGCGACACATATCGATATTTAAAAAGAAAAATTACTATGCGTGTTAATTATAGTGTTCGAAAATATCGATACAATTATCGATATGTATCGATGCCAGAGGCATATTGATACGTATCAATAGTCGTATCGATACTCTTTCGAATTAGCTAATTAGCTAATTAACGTGTGCCCCGTCTCTCTTTCTTTCTCTCTTTCTCTCTCTCTTTCTCTCTCTTTCTCTCTATATCTTTGTACCTCTAGAGAGAGAGGGAGAGAAGGAGAGAGAGAGAAAGAGAGAGAGATATGAAATTTTATTATATTTTTCTCTCAGTCGTGCTACTTTTATTAAAATCTTCGCAATGTTCGCAATTACATATATATTCGCGTTTCGAGATCACTCAAGTCCTGCTGTCGCATCTGATATCTTTAATTAAGAGGAAAAGAAAGACACGTTATCGACAGCACTCTTATTTTAGTGAGTCACTCGTGAATATGTCATTGAAACTGCGTTCTTATCTTAGTGCAATACTTTGACATTTTGACAAGCTTCACGGATATCCGTCGCATTCTCCCTCTGATATTCCGGAATATCACTCGACAATCGGAAAGGCAGAATTGATATCGCGGTCAAACTCCGTATTTGGAGCGTGCTAACGATGTCCCGGCTAGAAATTGATCCCATGGATCTGATAAAGGTCGATCCCAACCAGTTGTTTGTATAAGGTGATGTTAATACGAGGTTCTAATTATTAAGGCTCCTAGACACTCACCGTGGCTATGTTGGATGGTGACGTCAGACGCGAGAAATGACACGCTGAGAATTCTTGTGTACCATTTCCAAGTAAAAAGATATTTGAACGGTGGAACGCTTCAGATCGCTCGGGCATACTTTTAAAATACCTGCCTTGAAAACTATTCTTTTTCCTTGACAGTCGATAAACACGTAAAATACGTCACATTAATTTTACGGCTATTTATTGACTGTCAAAGGAAA